TGAACTCAGGTCCGCCTGACTTCAGGGCCAGTGCTCTATCCGCTGTGCCACCTAGCTGCCCTCAGAGTGCTCTATTTCAAATCCCAGCTTCACCTTTATGACTTTGGGCAGGTCACTTGACCTCTGCAGGCCTCAAGTTTCTCATCTATAGAATGAAGAGACTAGATTAGAGGAGTGCTTCTCAAACTTTGTGGTCTCATTTTATACTGTTAAAAGTTATTGAGCACCCCTCAAAGAGCTTTTGTTTATGTGGGTCATGTCTATCGATATTTCTTTTATTAGAAATTAAAACATGTTAGCATTATTATGAAAATAATTTTGACCTTGTAAACCTCCTGAAAGGGTTTAGGGACCCTCAAGGGTCCCTGGACCATGCTGGACTAAAGTATCTCTAAGGTTTCTTCCAGATCTAACCCTGTAGCCCTAGGTTGGATGTTCTGCCCAATGCTGCCTTAAATTCTGTAGCCATATCTCCCTGCCCCTCCCTCTCCTCTATGACCTCATGGGCCCTCCAGCAGTCACCATTATTTTTGTACCTTTGTAAGTTATTGATTTTTATATTGGATCATTAGCATTGACAGATGCTTTTAATTAAAAGAAACACACACACACACACACACACACACACACATATACTACCACCCCCTCCCCAAGCTCTCAAGAGGCAAGCATTCTAATTTGGCATGACATTATCAGGCCTAACAGTTGTTGGCATGTGAAATGTCTAAAAGATCATCCGTTGTTACCATAGCCTTTTGGAGTAGTCAAATGAAGTTCAAACTCGGGATGTTTTTGAAGTCTGAAGTCTCCCTGGGGATGTCTTTCATAACATCTCTGAACTGGCTAACGCTACAGTAAATGAAACACACAGAACTGGATTAAAGGGTTATTTCCCTGGAGTGTCAAGCTGACAGAGATGGCAGAACCTTGGGCTCCAAACATGACACACTGCCAGTGACAGGAGGCGCCCTCCACAGGCCTGTCCCCGCAGTTCAGTGCCAATAGCCTAGGCTAAGAAGACAATATTGTGATCGTTCACAAGCAGTAGTCAGGCAGCTAAGCTGGTCAGGTGAAGGTAGGACTTAGAAGAGCTAGGCCGTTGTTAGGGCTCAAGGTGAGCCAAAGTTTATCCTTGAAACCCTAGGATCTTCTCATTGGAAGGGACGTCTAGAGCCATCTCTCATTCAATGAATGTAGGACTCTAGAAACACAAAATGCTAAATTTTAGAGAAACTTTAGAAATCATCTGATATAACCTTTTGGTGATATTGAAGAAGAAACTGGAGGCTAGGGAGATTAAAGGACTGACCCAGGATTACAAAGTAAATGATGAAGCCAGTACTCCACTCTGGGCTTTCTGACACTAGGGCCAGCACTCAACCACACTTCTTTGCCCTCTACAATATCCCCAATAGAGCAGTCATTATTTCGCCTCCACTTGAAGCATTAAGGGTTGTATAAGTCCTGGAAACCAAAGCCAAGCGAAAAGTATAGTGCCTAGTTGGGCAGAGTGGGCTGGAACCAATTAAAGAATCTGGACAAAGTGCTTGGGCTTTGCATAGTTAGTTGGCCAAGAATTGGGAGAATGAGGGCTCAGCCAGGGCCAGGTCAAGGAGCACCAAGTCCTACAGGGGTCAGGCTGTACTCGATCAGGTGGGATTGTGTATTAAGAAAGTGAAACCAAAGCTGAGTGGATGTCTCCATATTGATTGTGTGGTGTGATGTCAAGAGCCCTGGATTTGGAGTCAGAGGACCTGACTTGGCTACTACCAGCTGTATAATCTTAGGAAAGGCATTTCCCCTCGTTGAGTCTTGACTCTATAAAATGAAGGGGTTGGCACTAGAATGACAAAAATTGGTAGGGCTGCAGGGAAGCATTTGTTCTTATATAGCGTTGTGGGAGCTGTAGATTGGTGCAAGCATTCTGGAGAGCAATATGACATTATTTAATAGAAAGTCACAGAACTGATTTTACTTTTTGAGTCATTAAGAGGAACTATATGTGTAGAAATATCCATAGCTGCTTTTTTTGTAATAGCCAAAAACTGGAAATAGACTGTGTGTCTAATTATTGGAAAATGACTGAATAAGTTAAGATGTAGCAATGTAATGGAATATGTATGATGTTGCTGTAAAAATATAAATATGAAGCATCTAATGAAATATAGAAAGACATATATGAGGTGATACAAAGCAAGATCAACAGAACCAGAATGAAAGAGAGAAGAGAAATTCAGCCTATGGGTCAGGAGCCTAAGCTGTGGACTTAACATGAACGGAGTTCAGTATTGGGGGTTGGGTTAACCTTTCCTCTCCTTTGAAATTATACACCTTAGCTCATCTTGTTTCCACTCAGAGTTCCTTTTGAGAAATCTTGGAATATAATTAACATGTAGCTTGTGTCTAGGTTTTCACCAATGTGGATAAAAGGTTTCTCAGCTCCTTTAAAAGCATTCAAGGTACCAGTGCATGCTGGGTATAGGACAGACCTTATTCCTCTCCATAAAAAAATAGAAAAACAACATAAAAGAATCATAGTAGCCCATAAGCAAGCAACAAAATTCTCCTCTCTCTCTAGTGAATTCCACTTTTCCCTAAGTCTCTATATAGTTCCCCAGACTCATAGTTGTCCATCATTTTTGTTAAGGCCTACTCTTACCCCTAGGAACCCATTTAGATACATAGCTTTATCATACTACCTTGAGTGCTTGGAATTCCCCCTGTAAGGAAAACAAATTTGGGGTTTTGAAAGAGGCAACTCCTTTCCCATAAGACCTGCACCATCCAAATAATTAATAGTAGTAGGGCAAGGCAAAGTTCAATTTTTTTTTTCTGCCTCTTTCTCCACCCCCATCACCATAGCTTTATTCACTTACTGTGCCTTCAGCTGCAGGGAGCTTTGTGCACAAACTTCTTTTTGTTTTTTTTGTTTTTATTTTTTGTTTTTTGTCTAGGCAATGGGGTTACACAGCTAGTAAGTGTTATGTGCCTGAGGCCGTATTTGAACGCAGGTCCTCCTGAATCTAGGGCTGGTGCTCTATTCACTGTGCCACCTAGCTGCCCCCTAAGGGATGACTCTGACCCACAAGCAGTATGAGCAAACCAAATCATTTCCAGTTACTGAGACTCATTCACACTTATTCTCTCTTTGATAGCATGATTGCAGTTCTTGCTTTTTTGGGATTCACTTGATTCATAGTAAGTTTTGTTTTAGCCCCTAATTTTTATTCTGTGTATGTCTTTAAATTTGAGGTGTGTTTCTTGCAAGCTACAGATTGTGGGGTATTGCTTTCTTAACCCAACCGGTCACTCGTTTTTGTTTTATTGGATTGTGTAATCCATTCACATTTAAAGGTATGAGAGTTAGGGTTAGACTTTCCTCCATTTGTCTCCAATCGTGCTTCGTCATTGTTCCTCCCACCAAATTAGAATTTTTTCCCCTTTTCCTCTATAAAGAAGGTACTCTGTCTCTTCATTTATTTTATCCTTTTGATGTTCAGTCATGTCCGACTCTTCATGACCCTGTGGGCCAATACTGGCCATGGGGTTTTCTTGGTAAAGTTACTGGAGTGGTTTGCCATTTCCTTCTCCAGTATATTAAGGCAAACAGAGGTTAAGTGACTTGCCCAGGCTCACACAGCTAGTGAGTGTCTGAGGTCACATTTGAACTTGGGTCTTCCTGATTCCAGGCCCAGCACTCTATCCACTGAGCCATCTAGCTGCCCCTTTAAAGCAATCCTATTCCCACTGGTTCTCTCATAAGTGAGCCATTTCCCACCCCCACCTGTTTGTTTCCCTTTTCCCTAATTCTGGGACTTAACTTATTAGTTCCTTCTTCCTTCTTCCTTTTATCTGGTTATTAATTCCTCCCCTCTTGTTTTTCCCTGTCAGTTAAGTAGTCAAGTAAAGTCCTCCCTACTCTCTCCTTTAACATGTTTTCATTTTTAAAGTTTCATTTTCTGTGCTTTTTTAAAAAACCATTCTTTCTTTCATTCTCTTCAGTATTTCTCTTCCCTCTCTATTCTATACTTTTATTCTTTGATTCATGGCCATTATACTTATTTAGGCCTGCTGTAGTCTGTGCATTCTTCACGGCATTAAAGTTTCTAAGGTACCTATTTTGAGTTCCCTCTTCTAAACAGGTTCTATGATATTGCCTTGTGGGTCATGGGAAAGAGGGTGCTGAATGACTGAGTTAGGGCTTACAGATTAACATTCTCTGTTGTTAGTTCAGTAAATTTTCACCTTGTTGGGGTTCATGGTGTCCTAGACCATAAAAACAGCTGAAACTGCTTTATCTTTTGTGTATAATTACTATTTTGGAGAGGTTGTGAGGATTGGAGAAAATGTCTAGTCTTTTATCTTGTTGGTCATGTGACCCTCCAGTACTCATTCTCTATAAGACCTGAATGGGTCTCATTTCCAACCTTGTTAGCTCATTAAGATGATCATAGAACTCCCCTGATTAATCCCAAAAGAAGGAGGCAAGAAAGAAAAACCAAATGTAATAATAAAATTATTAATAGCTAGTATTTATATATAGCGCTTTAAAATTTGCAAAGCACTTTATAAATATTAATTCATTTGATCCTCACAACAACCCTGGGAGTGGTAAGTGCTATTATTATCCCCATTTTACAGATAAGGAAGCTGAGACAGAGGTAAAGTGACTTGCCCAGGATCACACAACTAGTAAATGTCTAAGGCTGGATTTGAATTTGTCTTCCTGATGCCAGGGTCTACCAGTATTTTAGAAAGACTTGGAAAGGGGCATATAACCAGTTTCCATTGGTACCTGTACTTTGGCGACCTTCAAGGATTTAACTAGTGTTTCTGTAGGCATTTCTGGTCTATCCATGTTACGTGGTTAGTAAGTTAATGGAGCTGGGATGTGGATGTAGGTCCTTTGACTCCATACCCAGGGCTCTTCTACTATCTCCAGCTGCTCCAGTAGAGCTGTATCCAGTATGGGATGTTGACCAGCCTCCTTCTCTTCACAGTTGCCTTCCTCAACCTGCTCTACTTGTCTGTGGCCTTTCGGCACTCTCCTTGACCTACCTAAAGACCAAATCAAGAAGAGAGGAAGAGACAACAGAGCAGACAGAGCACACAGAACCACCCCAGCTCCGGGAAGGTGGGATCATTGGGGAAGAGTGAGTAACACCTACTCCCGTTCCAGGTCTGGCATCTGCCCTTCTCTTGCAAGAGTACTTGACAGCAGGAGACAGGATAATTCTAAGGATTGGGAGTCAAAGGAAATATGGGTGGTTGGACCTAATTTTGTAAGGTCAATTGCCATATTTTCCAGATATAGACTCATATATTGTTAGCATTAGACCACAGAATTCTAGAGCTAAAGGGGCCTTAGAGCAGAGAATGTCATATTTGGAGGGGGCTTTCATACAGAGAATGTCAGAGCTGAGAAGCAACTTAGAACACAGATTTTCAGATTTACAAATGGCCTTAGAACAGGGAATGTCTGTGCTTGGAAAAACCTTAGAATGGAAACTGTTAGGGCTGAAAGGGACTTTAGAACAGAGAATGTCAGAGCTGAAAGAGACCTTAAAACAGAGAATACCAAAACTAGGAGGAACTGTAGAACAGGGGATGTCAGAGCTGGAAGGAACCTTAGAACATACACTTCGCAAGCTGGGAGAACTTTTAGAACGAAGAATGTCAGAGCTGGAAGGATTTTTAAGACAGAGAATGTTATACCTTGAAGGAATTTTAGGACCCAGATTGTCAGATCTGGGAAAGACCTTAGAACAGAAGCTGTCAGAGCTGGAAGGAGTCTTAGAGCAAAGAATGTCAGATCTGAAAAGGGTGTTAGAACAGAGAATGTCAGGGCTGAGAGGGGCCTTAGAAGATGGAATGTCAGGGCTGGGAGGGATCTTAGAACAGAGAATGACAGAGCTGGGAGGGAACTTAGAGCAGAAAATGACAGAGTTGGAGCATATCTTAGAGAATAAATTGTCAGGACTGGAAGAGACCTTAGAAAATACATTTTCAGAGCTGGGAGGGACCTTTGAACAGAAAATGTCAATACTGGGAGAGATATTAGAACAGAGAATGTTGGCACTGGGAGGGACCTTAGAACAGAGAATTTCAGAGATGGAAGAGGTCCCAGAACAAGAAATGTCATTGATGGAAGGGATCTTAGAACAGAGAATGTCAGAGCTGGGAGAGGTCTTGGAACAGCGAGTATCAGAGCTGGAAGAGATCTTAGAACAGAGAATGTCAGAGGTAGAGGGAGTCTCAGAACAGATAATGTCTGAGCTGGAAGGGATCTTAGAACAGAGATTGTCTGAGTTGGAAGGGATCTTGGGAAGGAGATTGTCAGAACTGGAAGAGACCCTCGGACAGAAAATGGCCCAACTGGAAAGGGCCTTAAGACAGAGAATGTCAGAGTTGTAAGAGACCTTAGAACAGAGAATGTTAGAGGTGGGAGGGACTTTAGAATACAGGATGTACCAGCTGGACAAGACATTAGAAATCATCTAGCCCACTTCCCCCTTTGCTTTTCCTCTCCCTCCTGCTGCCTCTTAGAGCCCCCTAAACAGCTCAGTGCCACCTGTCCTCAGCAGAGGATCAGGGACATGGAAAGAAAAGAGAACTTGTATTAAGCCACTTAGCCCCTGATTAGCTGCTCTGGTCAAAGTTGGGATTGGGTGTAAGGTTTTGGATTATTCTGGGACCACAGCTAATTGAGAGATGGCTGTACCCTGTATTAGTGAAGGGGCAGTTGTGGTACTTTGACTTGATCTACCCTTCTGCAGGCTGTTATTGTAGATTATGGGTAAGCGTCCAGAGCCCGGTTGGGGGTCAGCTCATCTGTGGCCGTCACTTAGCAGCTGGAACAACAGCTGGAGCCGGAGCCGTGCTGAAGACCCATCCGCGGTGTGGGACCCAGAGCAGCAGGACAGAGAGGCCTAGGGGTCCAGGCTAAAGCCTGTGGTGAGAGTGGGGATGGTTGGGATTCTTGGAGAGTGTCCTGACCTCTGCTCCTGAGCTTACTCCTCAGTTGGCCTGAGCTGTCACACCTTTTTTTTATCAGATGGCAAGCCCCTAATTAATAATAGTAAAAATCAAGGGCTATGTTGTCCAAGACAGCAAGTTCTTCAAGGGAAATTTGCATCTCTTAGAATAAAATATGTTTGTCAAAGCTGGGGGTGGGAGGGAGACCTTTGAACAAAGAATGTTAGAGCTAGAAGAAAACTTAGAACATGGAAAGTCAGAACTGGGAGGAGTCTAAGAACATAGAACGTCAGGGCCAGAAGGGACCTTAAGACAGAATGTTAGATCTGGGATGGATAGCTTATGAGAACTGATAGAGATTTAGAGAGCATCTTTGTCCTACCTCCTCATTCCACAGACAGGAAGTGTCTCCAGAGGTACCATAGAAAGTTGATGACAGAGCCCGGTCTCCTGATCCCAAGTTAGTGTTTTAGCCACTCCTGCCCTCCATATGTAGGTGAATTCAGAAGACCTTTGTTCAAACGAACAATCAGCCTTCTGGAGAGCGTTGATGAAATTTCTGACTCTTATTGGATTTAGAGCAGCCAGAGACCTTAGAGATTACTTCACAATCTAATCTGAGGGGGATGACATATCCACAAATAAGTGTGATTATAAAGTAGAGTGTGATGAAGGTGAAGGACAAATCCGGACAAAGAGCTTTAGAAAAATTGGAGGAAAGAGAAAATATACCTGGGGAGAGTGGAGAAGGCTTCATGAATACAGGGACCTGAACTGGGACTTGGAGGAAGAGAAATATTTCAACAGGTGGAAATGAGGAGGGAACATGTTCCAGGCATGGGGGACATGTTATGCAAAGGCAGCAGAGAGGGTAGGGTGAGAGCCTCCTGCCTTTCCATATCTCTTTCTGTTTTGTTGCTCCTAACCCTGTTCTTCTGAGCAGCTAAGTGGCATAATGGATTTGAGTTTGAATCTTCCTTTAGTACTTACTAGTTGTGTGACCCTGGATTTCTCTCATTCTCAGTTTTTTTATCTGTGAAATGGTGTTAATAATAGCATTTACCTCACACATTTGCTGTGAAGCTCAAATGAGTTAGCACTTGTAAAGTATTTTGCAAACCTTCAAGCATTATATAAGTGCTCACTATACTATTGGTGTTGTTATTTGACTTCACTGTGGCTCCTGGTCCCTGTACCATAGCTGCCTCTTCCTCCTCCTCCTCCTCCTCCTCCTCCCCCTCCCCCCTCTTTCTCCTCTTCCCCCCACCTCCATTAACACTAACTTTCTTCTATTCACATTCTTGACCCAAAGGTTGACCAGTTCAACTATACACTAACTTCTGTCCTTGAATCTCTTACTGCATCCCTTGTCTTCTTGCTCCTCATGCTTTGCCAAACCCCAACCCAAAGCTCCCTCCACCATCTAACTTCCTTACTCCTGCCTCTGGAGAATGGCATGCAGCTCTGCCCATTGGGTTATCTCCAAGTTCATGTTCTGTAATCACAGCTGCTTCTTGATGGCCATATTCTTCCTTGTTGTCTCTGTATCGGACTTCCCATAGTAGCTCTTCCAAAACTTCTCTCCTCCAGCCCTGTGCCCCATACCCTCATGTTCTTCCTTCCCTCTCGCCAGAGGGTCTCTCTGGGTTACTTTTTTTTTAACTCATGACCTAGCTAGCACCCCAGGCCAATCTTGGAGGGAAGCCTCCCCCCACCAAATCCTATCTCTATGGTTCATATTACCCTGACCCCAAATTGCCTCTGAGAAATTTTAGGATATAATTCAAACATCATTTATCTCTTGGGCTCTACAGACATAGATACAAGCTCTTGAGATAATGCATACTGACTTCAAGATATCCTTTCTTTCACCCCCAGGATGTGCAGAAAACACATAAAGGATTCATAAAATTCTCCTCTCAGTCCAGCAAGTCCTATTTTTCCCCAGGGCCCTAATTGTCAAGGGATTATTTATCAGGTCGAATTGGACTAGATGGTCTCTGAGGTTCCTCCCAACTTTTGGATCCATACATACAGCTGTTCTAATCAATGCCTCTGACAGTGCTGGGAATGAAAGGTGACCTTTCCCCAAGTCCCACATAAAATCTGGATTGTCGTAGCACCAGCCAACAATCCCTAGAACTAATAGGAAGACAGAGGAGTGGGTTATATTTAGGCTGAGTACCTGGCAATTTTCCCCTACTCAGATACACAAGGGCTTGGTTTCCTAGGTCACTGGTCCAAGTTCCATCTATGTATACATACCAAGTGAATACCAAGTTAGATATGTCAGTCTCTATCCTAGAGCAGATGAAAGAGTTGGCAGAACACCTCTCTACTTTTTGGATTATCAGAGAGAAGGAAGTCCTCCTTAAAAGACTGAAAGAAGCACTACAGGAAGGAAAAAGAAAAAGGATTTAAAGAGGGATAGGAGAATCCTGACCTGTGAGGCCACTGGAGGGTTGATGACAGTGATACGGTAAAGGAAAGAAGAATAAATATTTGCAGCTAAGTAATAGGTGTGGGGCTCTTCCCACAGAAGGAGGAACCAGACCCTCTTAGGAGGCAGTAGCTTCTCATAATGAAAGGAATAATGACGTGAATTTACAGGGACTTGGACAGAAAGAGGGATTATCCAAGGAGTTTGAGAAATAGGGATATGATGGAGCATTCATGGTGGACTTCAGCTCTCCAGGAATCTGCTCAAGTTATTCATCTGTCCAAAACAGAGGGGCTGATAAATTCTTCATTTTTTTCTTAATGAAAATTTGATTCGTTAAAAGATAGAGGCAGTGCTAGACCTGATTCTCATCAATAGGGAAGAATTAGTTGTCAAAGTAAAAATGATGGGGAACCTTGAAGGCAAGTGACCATTCTACCTTGGAATTCATAATAAATGGGGGCAGCTAGGTGGCAAAGTGGATAGAGCTCCGGCCTTGGAGTCAGGAGGACCTGAGTTCAAATCTGGCCTTAGACATTTGACACTTACTAGCTGTGTGACCCTGGGCAAGTCACTTAACCCTGACTGCCTCACCAAAAAGCAAAAAATAAAATAAAATAAAATAAAATATATATATATAAAATAAAGAAGGAAAGGAAAGCCAGGCAGGTTGGGAGTTGTATTTTTTTCTCAGTAGCATAAGTGTCTAATGAGGAAATCATTGGGAGGTAGCCTGGC